GCATGTGTGTACCTATGCAACAATCCTGCAAGATCTGCACATGTACCCCAGAACTTAAAGTACAGTTAAAAAAAATATATATATATATTAACCCTTATATTTTCTTTGAAGAGTTTTGTTATTTTAGCCCCTATGTCATTTATTCATTATGAAGGTTTTTAAAATATGGTGTGAGGTAGGAGTAGACATTTATAGCTATGAATTGTCCTCTGAATGTTGCTTTTGCTGTATTCCATAAGTTTTGGTATGTGTGTTTTTTTGTTTTCATTTGTCTAAAAGTATTTTCTAATTTCTCTTGTGATTTCTTTTTTGACCTTGTATCTATATTCATGAGAAATTGGTTTATAATTTTCTTTTTTTGTACAATCTTTCCTATTAATGTGAAGGTGATGTTGGCATCATAAAATGAGTTGAAAATTATTTACTCCATTCTGTTTCATGGAAGACATTTTGTAGAGGTGGTCTCTTATCTTCTTTAAATATTTGATAGAGTTTGCCACAAGAGATTTATTTTTAGAAAGGTTTTCAACTATGAGTTTAATTTTCTTAATAGTTATAAGTTCATTCAGATTATTTGTTTTATCTTGTGAGAGCTTTGTTTTTCTTTGGTGTTTTAGGAATTGGTTCTTTTTTCCTAACATTTTGAATTTATGTAGAGTTTTTCATAGTATCCTTATTAACCTTTATATGTCTGTGTGTAGGGGAGTCTGTAGTTTTGTTTTAATTATTAGTATTGGTAATTTCTGTCTTCCCTTTTTGTCAGTCTTGCTAGAGATTTATAAATTTTATTGGTCTTTTCAACCAACCAGCTTTTGTTTTCATCATTTTTTTTTCTGTTTTCAATGTCATGGATTTCTGCTTTTTATTATTTTTGTGTTGCTTTCCTTGGGTTTATTTGTTGTTCTTCAAGTTTCTTAAGATAGACTTGAAACTGTTTTCCTTGCTGATATAATGGTATCAATTTAAGAGCTGGGCTTGGTGGCACATGCCTGTAATTCCAGCTATTTGGGAGGCTGAGGTGGTAGCATCACTTGAGCTTAGGAGTTTGAAACAAGACTGCGCAACATGCAAGACCACATGTCTTAAAAAAAACTGAAAAATAAAATAATTGTATAAGTTTAATAATATTAATTAACTGTAGCACTACTGTAGTTGCATCCCACAGATTTAGTATATTGTATATTTATTCAGTTGACTGTAGAACTAGCCTTGTTCGGATTAACCTTATTATCATGTATATTATGCCTTTTAAAATTGCTGGATTTCATATGCTAATATTTTGCAAATGATTATGAGAAATATTAGTATGTAGTTTGGGGCTTCCACTTGACCCAAAGATTATTTAGAAATGTGCTGTTTAATTTCCAAGTGTTTGGAGATTTTCCTTTTAACTTTCTATTTCTAGTTTAATTCTGTTATGGTCAGAGAGAGTACTTTGTGTGTGTGTGTGTTTTTTTTTTTGAACTTGCGAAGGTTTATCTTATGACTCAGAATATGGTCTGTTTTGGTGAGTGTTTCAGGTGCATTTGACAAGAATATGTATTCAGCTGTTAAGTAGAGTGTTATGTAAATATCGGATCAGGTGGGTTGATGATGTTCATTTCTTCCCTGTCAGTCTACTAGTTTTATCACTGAAAGAGGAGTGCTGAAGTCATCAAATAATTAATAATTAAGAATTTGTTTCCTATTTTTAATGTTCTGTAAGTTTTTACTTCATATTCTTTGAAGCTCCATTATTAAGTGCATATACATTAGTTATGCTTTCTATTATGTGAATTATATTTGAAGTGACTTACTTGTAGACTATATATAGTTGCGTCATTTTTAAAGTCTCTTATAACAATCTTGTCTTTTTATTTATATCTATAGACCATTTACACTTAATGTAATTTTGGCATGTTTAGATTTAGGTTTAGCAGTTTCATAATTTGTTTTCTGTTTGCTTCTTCTGTTTTCCATTACTCTGTCTTTTCTGCATTCTTTTAGGCTATTTGAACAATTTTTAGTCATTCTGTTTTAAGTTACCTGTTGTGGCTTAAAAATTCTTAATTCTCCATATAGTTTTAATGATCACTCCAGATATTACATTAAACAGATTTAACATTTTCACCACCTGCTTAAAATAAATTTATTTCTTTAAGTGGATTATGGCCACTTAAAGAAATATTAAAACTACGTAGGTCTCTTTATCTTATCTTCCCCTTTTCTTTTATTGTTGGCTACAAATTACATTTTCATTAATTGAAATCTTCATTAGACAATGCTTTTGTTTTTACTTTGAACTATTAAACATATTTAAGGAAACTCAGAGGAGAGGGTTTATGTATTATCTTTGTCTGCATGTTTACCATTTTGATTACTCTTCAACCTGCTCTTCCAAGTTTCCTTCTGGTATCACTTTTCTGTGTGAGGAATTTCTTTTAGCAATTCTTTTAGAACAGGTCTGTTGTTCTAAATTTGCTGGTAGCAAATTCTCTTAGTTCCCATTTATCTGAAAATATCTTTGGTTTTATGATCATTCTGAAAGATACTATGTTTTAACTGGATATAGAATTCTAGCTTGATAGTTTTCTTTCTTTCAGCGCTTCAAAATGTTGTGTAACTTCCTTCTGGCCTTCATGGTTTCTGCTGAAAAACCTGTTTTCATTTGAAGTGGTGTTCCCCCCTATATTTTATGGATTGTTTTTCTCTGTTTTCAAGATAATTTCTAGGCCGAGCGCAGTGGCTCATGCCTGTAATCCCAGCGCTTTGGGAGGCTGAGACAGGTGGATCGCCTGAGGTCAGAAGTTTGAGATCAGCCTGGCCAACATGATGAAACCCTGTCTCTACTAAAAATACAAAATGTAGCCAGGCGTGGTGGTGGGCCCCTGTAATCCCAGCTACTAGGGAGGCTGAGGCAGGAAAGTCGTTTGAGCCCAGAGGCAGAAGTTGTAGTGAGCTGAGATGACGCCCGATTGCACTCCAGCCTGACTGGCAACAGAGCAAGACTCTGTCTCAAAATAATAATAATAATAATAATATAATAATAATAATTTCTTTGTGTTTCATTTGCAACACTTTATGATGTGTGAGAGTGTGGAATTCTATGTGTTTATTCATTTTGGGATTCACTGACCTTGAACCTGTAGTTTTATGTCCTTTGTCAGATTTGGGAAGGTTTTTGACATTATTTCTTCAGATATTTTTAATCATCCTCTTCTTCTTTGCTTTTAGAAGTTCACTGACCAGATGCTAGATCTTTTTGTTACCGTCCCATAGATCCCTGATGTATTACTCCATTCTTGAATTGCTATAAAGAAATGCCTGAGACTAGGTAATTTATAAAGAAAAGAGGTTTAATCGGTTCATGATTCTGCAGGCTGTACAGGAAACATAGCAGATTCTGCTTCTGGGTAGGCCTCAGGAAACTTAAAATCATGGTGAAAGGCAAAGGGGAAGTAGGCATATCTTACATGGCTGGAGCAGGAGCAAGAGATGGGGAGGGGACCACATACTTTAAAATAACCAGATCTCATAAGAACCCACTCACTATCACAATGACAGCACTAAAGGGCAAGGTGGTAAACCATGAGAAATTGCTTCCATGATCCAATTATCTTCCACCAGGCTCCACCTCCAACATCGGGGATTACAACTGAACATGAAATTTGGCTGGAAACATAACTTCAAACCATATCACCTAGGTTCTGTTCGTTTTATTTCAATCCCCACAGATCCATCAGTTGGAGACCCTAGTTCTTTTCCCGCTTTCTCAGCATATTGGCTCTTGTGAAGATTCTTCTGTTCCTGCTACCACCATGGGGTTACTTGAGGGTTGGGATGAGAAAAGTGAGGGGTTAAAACTGAGACACCATCTTTGAATGTTACTTTTTTCTTTGAGCTAGAACTGGCGGGCTTCCCCCAGAGCTCTCTGTACCCTAGTGCCCCCTTCTGGGTTGGCTGGGAGACACTAGAATTTCTTTTAAAAAGTAAAATCACTGATGGTTTGGTGTTGATTCGATTCCTTGTCCTCTATCCCGATCTGGGATAGGTTGCATTCCCAGCTACTTGCAGCTACTAGCTAATATACTGGACAACACAGAAAATTATATTGCATATAATGCTATTCTAGAGAAGCTGCACGCATTAAACAAAACAAAAATAATAAATTGCAAAGAGGCCAGGTGTGGTGGCTCATTCCTGTAATCCCAGCACTTTTGGAGGCTGAGGCAGGTGGATCACTTGAGATCAGGAGTTCAAGACTAGCCTGACCAGCATGGTGAAACCCCGTCTCTACCAAAAATACATAATTAGCCAGTCATGGTGGTACACACCTGTAGTCCCAGCTACTTGGAAGGCTCAGGCAGGAGAATCACTTGAACCTGGGAGGCAGAGGTTGCAGTGAGCCAAGATCGCACCATTGCACTCCAGCCTGGGCAACAAGAGCAAAACGCCATCTTAAGTAAATAGATAAATAAATAGCACAGAACAAGGTTGAAATTTTAAATCTTTGTTGAAATAAACCTAAAAGAAGAGTTAACTAGCAAAATGGACAAAGCTAAATTCCAAATCGTACTTTGACGAAAAAGTAAAAAAGAAATAAAAAGTATGAAGTAAAATGAAAGCTAAAATTGTGAGAGTAAAGTTAATATCACAGAATACAGATTAAATGATCCTACATACATCTAATAGAAATTTTATGAGAATACAAAAAAGAAGAAATAACAAAAATTTAAGAATTTCTCCTGAGTCAAAAGGCAAATAAGAGTCTTCGGAATCAAAGTTCCTTTTTTAACAAAGAATGAATAAGATCTGGACATGGTGGCTTATGCCTGTAAGCCCAGCACTTTGGGAGGTTGAGGCAGGAGGATTGCTTGAGCTCAGGAGTTTGAGACCAACCTGGTCAACATAGTGAGACCTCATCTCTACTAAAAAAAAAAAAAAATGGGTATGGTGGCATGCACCTGTAGTCCCAGCTATTTAGGAGGCCAAGGAGGAAGAATCATTTGATCCCAGGAGGTGGTGGCTGCAGTGAGCCATAATTATACCACTGCACTCCAGCCTGGGTGCTGGAAAGATACAAAATTAAACATATCCTGGTAAATTGAGGGTGCAGAACTGAGCCCAGGCCACACTACACTATTCACGCTCTGTGCTTACGCCGAAGGGACAATGGCGGCTTCCTGTGTTCTGTACACTGGGCAGAAGATGCCCCTGATTGGTCTGGGTATCTGGAAGAGTGAGCCCAGTCAACTAAAAGCAACTGTTAAGTATACCTTTAGTGTAGGCTACTGCCACATTGACTGTGCTGCTATCTATGGCAGTGAGCCTGAGATTGGGGAAGCCCTGAAGGAGGACGTAGGACCAGGCAAGGCAGTGCCGTGGGAGGAGCTGTTTGTGACATCCAAGCTGTGGAACACCAAGCACCACCTAAGGATGTGGAGCCTGCCCTCCAGAAGACTCTGGCTGACCTCCAGCTCGAATATCTGGACCTGTACCTGATGCACTGGCCTTATGCCTTCGAGCAGGGAGACAACCCCTTCCCCAAGAATGCTGATGGGACTATATGCTGTGACTCCACCCACTACAAGGAGCCTTGGAAAACTCTGAAGGCACTGGTGCTAAGGGGCCGGTGCAAGTGCTGGGCCTGTCCAACTTCAACAGCTGGCAGATTGACAACGTACTCAGTGTGACTTCTGTGCATCCAGCTGTCTTGCAGGTGGAATGCTACTCATACTTGACGCAGAATGAGCTAATTGCCAACTGCCAAGCATGTGGCCTGGAGGTAACTGCTTATAGCCCTCTGGGCTCCTCTGATTGTGCATGATGAGATTCTGATGAGCCTGTCCTGCTGGAGGAAGCAGTAGTCCTGGCATTGGCGAAAAAGTATGGCCAATCTCCAGCTCAGATCTTGCTCAAGTGGCAGGTCCAGTGGAAAGTGATCTGCATCTCCAAAAGTATCACTCCTTCTTGAATCCTTCAGAACATCAAGGTGTTTGACTTCACCTTTAGCCTGGAAGAGATGAAGCAGCTAAATGCCCTGAACAAAAATTGGCAATATATTGTGCCTATGCTTATGGTGGATGGAAAGAGATTCCCCAGGGATGCAGGGCATCCCCTGTACCCCTTTAATGACCCATACTGAGACCACGGCTTCTTGGCCTCTCTTCCAGCTCTCCAGTTAATGAGGTCCTGCCACAATGGAAAGAGGGAGTTAATAAAGCCACTGGAGCATCCAAAACAAACATCTCTCCTGCCTCAGCATCCCGAGTAATTGGGATTATAGGCATGCACTACCACGACCGGCTGATTTTGTATTTTTAGTAGAGACAGGGTTTCACCATGTTGGTCAGGCTAGTCTCAAACTCCTGACCTCAAGTGATCCACCTGCCTCGGCCTCCCAAAGTGCTAGGATTACAGGCGTGAGCCACTGTGCCCACCCTCTGTGCAATTTATTATTGTTGTTTAATGAGTGCAGCTCCTCGTAATAGCACTATATACAATATAATTTTCTGTGCTGTTCAGTATATTAGCCAGTAGCTGCATATGGCTGGGAATGTAGCCTGAGACCAAGGAACTAAATTTTATATTGTATTTAATGTTAATGTATATAAAATTAAATAACTATACACATCTAATGACTACTAGATTGGACAGCACAGCTCTACAATTTAAAAATCCTTATACTTTTTGGCTTTAAAAAAATTCTGATGCCTTAGCTCATCTCCTCGTTCAATTGTGTGTCTGTTTTTTGTGCTCTTGGTTTTTCTTAGGTGTCTAAAGGTTAATGAAGGTTAAAAATTATCAATATTGGAAGTTAGAGTAGGTTTTCTCAATTCTTAAGTGAGTTTCTTCTGGAGAAAGTGAATATTGAATATAAAAATCCATGAATTTCTACTTCTAAGTGAACGCAGCAGTCCTCGCTTTAGAGAATATGTGTACTTCTTAATATGTATATGTGTATAACCTGTGTCCCTGTGGTGGCCAGAATTTACTATGAGTAATTCTGTCTCTGGCCATAGTGTCCAGACAGAAATCCCTGTACGCTGATTACCCTTTTCCACCAGGTTTAGACCAGATACAAATATCTGGGAGTAAAGACTGAGTTTTTCTTGAACATGTGATTTGCATCTAAACAAAATGTGTTAACAGTTTTTGTTTGTTTTTAGTGAGAAATAAAAGGCAGCGATTTTGATTTGTAATGTCTCTTGTTAGGACAAGTAAAAGGAAAAAAAAATACTTAAAGTGAGCCAGAATTACTGACTAGGGAATGATAGTCATATAGGTTCACAGTGAAGCTTAGAAATCCTTTTATGGTTCTATTTCCTCTCTCTTTTGCTTTAGCTCTGTTCAGGAAACCAAAAACTGGCAGCAGACTAGTTGGAAGATAGATAAGGCTTTTTTTTCGTAGTTAACCTAAGAGGATATCACTAGAGACTTGGAAGTAAAGAGAGCTACCTGCAAAGACTTCTAATGCTAAGATTACCTGGAACCTGAATGCCCTTTGTTATGCTGCAGGTAGGGCATTTTCCTGCTATGAAAAGAAAATAACTATTATAAATAGTCTAATATTAATGAGTAAGTATGGAATTGGTGTTTTTCCTTTCAAATTTTAGCATATAATTTTGAAATGTTTTAAACTTACTTTTGAAATCTGTTTCTATTTTTGAGTTTCTCTTTTAAAAGTCAGTCTAAAGTATGTGTATCTTACATGTTAAGAATTATTAACTTCATTTTTTTCATAAAAATAAGCAGAGTTAAGACTTTCAACAGATGTCAGAATAGTTGAAGTTCTTCATCACTATCATAAGTTTCCTTTGTGACAGGTTTGTGATTCCTGTTGGGAATGTCATCTAAGTTCTCTGCGTCTGGTATTTTCTCCTATACTTTCATGACAAGAAAAAAAGCCTTTGATTATTTCTCTTTTCTCTCCATTCAGATGTTCACCACTGCTTTCCATGCTCAGATGTGATTTACATGCAATGGTGAATGCTCTTTCCTTCCTTTCCTCCTTGCCCTCTTTTATCCTCTTTCTTTCTTTCTTTTTTGGTTGGCCCTATTTAAATGGGATCTATCAAATATACCAAGTTTCAATGAAAGTTACCTCCTTGTGTTAACAGTCACAATTTCTCTTTTTATTTATATACTTAGTAACTTGATTATTTATACTTGAATTTTGTTTTAGTGCATAATCATATTGTAATCTTTTGAAGATATTTTAAAGTGGCAGTTAATCCCAACATTTGTAATACCAACAGTGCAGATAACTTAGTTGAATGACAACAGCATGAATAGCCTCGATTAAGTTGTGCATGTGCAGACAGCTACTGTGTATATCCTGCCTGCCACCTGAACAACAGTTATTTATTTTTTCTTTTTTTTTGTTTGAGACAGAATCTCGCTCTGCCATGCAGGCTCAAGTGCAGTGGGGTGATTCTGGCTCACAGAAACCTCCATCTCCCAGGTTCAAGCGATTCTCATGGCTCAACTTCCTGAGTAGCTGGAATTACAGATGCCTGCCACCACACCTGGCTACTTTTTGTATTTTTAGTAGAGACGGGGCTTTACCATGTTGGCCAGGTAGGTTTTGAACTCCTGACCTCAAGTGAACCACCCCATCTCCGCCTCCCAAAGTGCTGGGATTACAGGTTGAGCCACCTCACCTGGCCAAGTTTTTAATATTTTATATAGCCAGCACTTATAAACTACCTGCTTCATGCTAGATAGTATACTTAGGTGCTAGGTGTAAAACAGTGATCAAGTACAGTAGATTCCAAATTCACACAGCTCACAGTCCTAACAGGCTGTCATGCCTCGGTTATTTGTGACAATGTTTCCCACAGACGTTTAATTTTGGAATGATAGGATGTGGTACTCTGGAATGGTATCCCAGGGTTTTGGAGAACTGAGAGTAACTTGGGAAAGCAGGTTACAGTGAGAGAAAGTTGTGACTGGGAGTTGTACCAAAAGGCAGGAAACCGATGTGTATATTGTTACAGTGCATAAAAATATTTACAATTAAAAGTCCTGAACCTGTACTGCATCTATTGTTTCACATATTTCCATTCAATTTAAATCCTACTCCAGATACAGCCCCCTTCAGTTTAGTTCTGTGTGACAGAAATTTGATCTGTTTTACTGAAGACCCATTTGAATAGTAATTGTGAGCAATTGTTGAATTTGTAAATGTTAAGTAAATTTAGTGATTGACTTTGTGGACAGTGTGACATTATGGACAGCCATTCATGGTACTGTTTCCCCCCCACCCCTTCCCCTGCCATCCCTGGAACTTGAGGGTTTAATCTGTCCTTAATTAGCCAGAAAAAAATGTTTGATCCTCTTACTCAGTTTTAGATTATTTTAGATGATTTCTAAGCTTAACTCCAAGCTAGAATAGTTTCTGCTTATTGATTTCGTGAATATCACTTCTCTGTTTCTATTTCCCACCTTCTACCGGGCCAAAGGATTGTAGAACTATGATCAACAAACTCCTAAATCATCAACCTTTTCCTTAAACCTTAAAAAGTTTCCATCTATGTAGACACTTGTCTGGCCCCAGATTACAGTTTTACCATTCTCAAGTGAAACTGTTTGTTTCATCACAATCCACATAATTAAGGGTTAACATACTATTATGAAATAACAGTAAAAATTACTAATCCTTTCGACTCTCTATTTCCTCTCTCCTTTTATTACATGGGCCTGACAAAATGCCAACTACCTGCCTACACTTAGGCAATTGAATGTAGTGCTTTAAATTTATACCAAAACTCTCAACAGGGCATCAACAATGTCTGGCAGTGCAGTTGCTTCTTCAGTTTCCTGATTAAGAATGCGTTTCCTGGCTGAGCCAGTGGCTCACGCCGTGTAGTCCTAGTACTTTGGGAGGCTGAGGCAAATGGATCACTAGAGACCATGAGTTCAAGGCCAGGCTGGCCAACATGATGAAACCCCTTTTTTACTAAAAATACAAAAATTATCTGGGCGTAGTAGCATGTGTCAGTAATCTCAGCTACTTGGAAAACTGAGGCAGAGCGCCATTGCACTCTGGCCTGGACAACAAAGCGAGACGGTGTCTCGGGGAAAAAAAAAAAAAGAATGCATTTCCTCCACTCATTGCAAACCTCCCACAGCTCCCACTCCTATCTGTGGAGTTAACCTCAGACTTTACTGAGAAATTGAATGCAGCTGTTGTCATCTTTTCACCACCAATTCTATAGACCTATCTGCATTGCTCCCCTCGTTCTGTCTTCCTTTCAGTTGTTATCAAAGACCACTCCTGACAATCTGATTTCTCTACTTGTGACTCAGATTTTATATTTTCTGCATCTCACTTTTCCATATCATTTTTCTCCCCTCTATAGAATTTTCCCTTCAACCACAAACATGCTTTATTATCTCCCAGCTCCAATTACATCTGCAAATGTGTGTAAATATGAATGACCATATATGTACAGATATACGAATCCTACCGTTCCTAATGCCTTCTACCACTGTTATATGTTCCTATTCTTATCTAATAAATTTTCTTCACTAAGTATTTTTTCCTCCTACCTCGGTGTCTGTTTCTTTATTTTCAGCCATTTTTTGTTTCTCTTGTAAATGTTTATGGCCCCCAGGGCTGAACCTTCTTAGCCTGCACTCCCTTGTATTGCCTCCCAGTAGTGACTCCCAAATAGGTCTTCAGCTTCATCTCTCCTCCTGGGTTCCAAACTTGCATAACCAGCTGCCTTCTTGATCATTTAATCAGTCTCTCCTGTTGATGATGTAATATTTCATTTCTTTCCCTCATGGCATCACTGTCCACCCCTGTTACACACATCAGAATTTCAGAATCAGCCTTAATTCTTAGTTTTCTCTCTCACTCCTCCTCCATGTCTAATCCAGTAGCCCTACCTCCACTGTTTTCACCTTGGTCCAAGCAATGATCTCTTGCTTAACAAAACCATAGTCTCAACTAATCTTACTCACTACATTCATTCTTGGCCCACCATAATCCATTCTCCACTACAGGGATATTTAGAGGTACTATAATATATACTGCTCTAGAGTTATATTGTCTAGAATTAAATCCTGACTTCATCATTTACCAGCTGAGTGGTCTTGAGCAGTATACTTAACACCTGTGCCACAATATGCTCATCTATAAAATGGGATAGTATATTTTCTGTTCTCTTATTGTTATAAAGGAGTAACTGAGACTGGGTAATTTATAAAGAAAAGAGGTTGAATTGGCAGGTGATTCTGCAGGCGATACAGAAAGCATGATGCTGGCATCTGCTCAGCTTCTGAGTAGGCCTCAGGAAACTTGTAATCATAGCAGAAAGCAAAGCGAGAGCAAGCACATCTTACATGGCAGAAGCAAGGGGTAGGGGAGATGCTACACACTTTTAATAATCAGATCTTTTCAGAACTCACTCATCACAAGGACGGCATCAGGAGGATAGTGCTAAATTACTCATGAAGGATCCACCCCCATGATCTAGTCACCTCCCACCAGGCCCCACCTCCAACATTGGGGATTACAACTTGACATGAGATTGGGTCAGGACACAGATCCAAACCATATCAGATGTTAATTGTTAGTAATTAAAATATAAATCAGATTATGTCACAAGTACCTGTTTTTGAAACTTTAGATTCTCATTGCTCTTAGAATAGAATTCAAACTACCATGGCTTTCAGGACCCTTCATAACCTGGCACCTTGCCTAACCTTTCTGATATCCATCCTGTTTCTACTCTCCCCTTGCTTACCGTATAGCCACAATGACTATCTTTAACTTTCTAGCTAGAAACATGGCTTTTTGTGGGGTATATTTCCTATTATTTTTTCTTGGCTTTGGACCAATTTATTCATGTCAGTTTTGTGTTTGTTATACGTAAAAAATGGTGCCTTAAAAAATCAGTTAATTTTTTTTTTAACCTGGTGAATCATTTGTTTTATCTCTGTAAATGCTGGGACCAGGACCCACTCATTTTTCCAATTTTGTGAGAGATTGGTAAAATTCCTAGAAGTGGAATTCCTAGGTCAAAAAATAGGAATGTTTTCAGATAAATGATTTCTATTGAGTTAAATTATTTGAGAACTTAACATGTCCAAAAAAGTTTTCATTTGCCCTCATACTTGACTGGTAGTTTGCCTGAATGTAAAATTCCAGATTCAGAGTCATTTTTGCCCAGACAATGAAGACAGTATTCCACTATCTTTTAAAAAAAAATAACAGTTTTATTGAGGCATAATTCATATACCATACTATGTGCAATTTAGTGGTGTTTAATATATTCATAGAGTTGTATAGCCATCACCCCAGTCTGTTGTAGGACATTTTTATCACTCATTAGCAGTCATCCTCCATTCCCACCAATTCGCCCATCCCCCAGCCTTAAGGCAACAGGTAATCTCTTTTCTGTCTCCATTGTTTTTTAATGTTGCTGATGAAAAGTCTGATGCCAAATTAATTCTAGTTACCTTATAGGAAGCTTTTAGAGTTTTCAGTTTTGAATTTCTGAAATTTA